CGCACCTGGAGATACGACGTCTTTGCGAGCTTCCACGGACCAGACGTCCGTAAAAACATTTTGAGTCATTTAGGTAGACAGTTTAGCTACAATGGGATTACTGTGTTCGATATACAAGAGATCAAGGGAAGCCATAGCCTTGGCCCTGCTCTCATACAAGCGATTAGAGAATCGAGGATCTCGATCGTAGTGTTCTTGAAGAACTATGCTTCTTCGAGCTGGTCTTTGAATGAATTGGTTGTGATTATGAAGTGCATGGAACGACTTGGGCAACTAGTGATACCGATCTACTATGGAGTAGATCAGTCTGATGTGCGGAATCAGACCGGAGATTTCGGAGAAGTTTTCAGAAAAACCTGTTCTGACAAAACAGAGGAGGTGAGGAGAAGATGGATCCATGCTTTGACCAATGCTTGCACCATAGTAGGAGAAGACTTCCTAAACTGGTTTGTTCTTTTCAATTAATTTGAGAAAAAATTATTTTTGAATCTACAAATCATTTTGATAAACACAAGTGGTTTTTATTTTCTAGGGACAATGAAGCGAATATGAGTGAAAAGATTGCTAAAGATATTTCAAACATACTAAACGCAACACCTAATATGGTGGGGATTGAAGCACACTTGAAGACAATGCAGTCTTTATTACATTTAGAGTATGAGGATAAAGCTATGATTGTTGGAATTTATGGTCTTGCGGGTGTTGGTAAGACTACCATTGCAAGAGTTTTACATAGCCGACTCTCTAGCAGTTTTGACCTTAGTTATTTTATGGAGAATCTAAGGGGAAGCTATAATAGTGGTCTTGATGACTATGGTTTGAAGGTGAGATTACAAAAGCAACTTCTTTTAAAGATTTTCAACCAAAAGGATATTCAGATATACCATTTAGGTACGGTACGAGAGTGGCTATGTAACATGGAAGTTTTTATCATTCTTGATGATGTGGATGATCTAAATCAATTAAGGGCGTTGGCTAAGGAAACTACATGGTTTGGTCCTGGAAGCAGGATTATTGTGACTACAAAAGACCAAGAGCTCTTGCGGCAACATGGTATTGTTAATACATACCATATGGGTCTCCCATCTAGTGAAGAAGCTCTCGAGATCTTATGTAGGTATGCTTTTAGACAGAGCTCTCCACCTGATGGTTTTGAAGAGCTTGCTAAAAGAGTAACAAAGCTATGTGGTAACCTTCCATTGGATCTACGTGTGGTGGGTTCATCTTCACGTGGGAAGAACCAAGAAGAGTGGGAAAAAGTAATTCGCAGAATAGAATATAAACCATCATCGTTAAACAAGCAATTAGTGAAAAGAAAAAATCACAAGGAGGAAGAAGAGTTGCAAGAAGTAACTCGCATACTAGAACATGCACCATCATCGTCTAACAAGCAAAATGGAAAAAGAAAAAGTCGATGTTCCACGGTGGAATGGCATTTCTCGTCCTCATCAATTTGCTGCTGGAGATTGCATCAACGGTGGTAGACCTGCTCTCTTCCATTCACAAGCCTTACTTTGCAAGAATCTCTTTAGTAATGTCAATTCTCTCTGTTTTTCTCTCCATCATTGACCTCACTTACAAAAGTCCGAGCCCATAAAGCTCGTTTCCTATGCAAGTGGCCTATACCTTGGTTCTACAATCCATCATCACGTGGCTACAACATAATCTTTGGAAGTTTCACAGATACTGTCTTATTGTTCTGTGTTGTTGGTCATTTAATAGTGTCGACCATCAATTTTAGTTTTATGGAAAGAGGACGAGACGGTCCCATCAAAGTAACATTGTGGCCACTCTTCTTTGCCATTGGTATGGTAATCTCCATGTTCATGGTAAAACCGGCCAATTCCGACGACATATTACCTATTACAAAAATGTATTGATTTGCATAAACTTTAAAGATTTTAGTTTTTGTGTATTTTGAAGGTTTCAGATTTTGTGTATTAGAAGCCCTTGTTCTAGGGAGATGCCATAATAACCTGAAATTATTATATAAAATAAAATAGCCAAAATAACCTATTAATTTTTTTTTTAATATTCTCAAGAAACATATTCTCCAAATTACCCTTAAACATACTCCTCATTTCAAAATGTTTGATGTTGTAGAAATTTTTTT